CAGAACCCCGCATGCTGTTGGAACCATTTGTGATTAATAATAAATGGATTCTGTCATCAGAAACAAGATGACTGAATACAATGTATATATATTTTTAAAAAACTCAAACTTTAACAACAGTAAGAAGAAAATAAAGCAAAAGCCACTGGAAAAAATTGTAAGAAATATTTGTGAAATATACTACACCTGGAGATATACATATTAAATAAAAATACAGAGGGTCCAATGTTAGATCCCCACAAGTAATTAAAATAAGCCAATAAGTTGCCATATGACCCAACAATTCCACCTACCCAAGAAAAATGAAAACATATGTCCACATAAACACTTGTGCAGGAATGTTCATATTATTCATAGTGGCCCAAAAGTGGAAACAATCCAAATAAACACCAACTAATGAGTGAAGAGATGAAATGTGGTATGTCTGTACAATGGAATATCGTTCAGCAATAAAAAGGAATTAAGTCCTGACACCTGCTACCACATGGATAAGCCTTGAAAACATTTTGCTAAGTGTAAGAAGCCAATCACAAAGACCACATATTACAGGATTCCATTTATATGAACTGTCCAGAACAGGCAAATCTAGAGAGAGAAAGGAAATCAGTTGTTGCTTGGGGCTTGTGTGGGGACTAGGTAGGAACTGCTAATAAGTACAGGGTTTCTTTTGGGGGAGACAAAAATGTTCTACAATTAAGATTGTGACCATGAGTACACAACTATGAGCATACTGAAACCCAGTGACTGTACATTTTACATATAGGTAAATTGTATGGTATGTGAATTATTTCTCAATAAAGCTGCTGGATAATAAATAAACTAGCAAATGGTAATAGAAAAGGTAGAGCATCACATATGCACACGCATACACACACACACACACAAAATAAATCACCTCTTAACAAAGATAAAACTGAAACCCCTGGTATCATTATATATCAATTAAGCTAGCAGAAAATAAATACAAATCATTAGAACTTCATCAAGTGGCTGCCTCTTTCAGATTAACGTCCCCGGTCTTTATAGTGGTCTACAAGGCTCACGTGCTCCGACTTCACTCCATTGCCTAGATCAATACTCTCACCTCTTCTCCCTCTAGTGAAGATCCCACAAATTCTCTGATATCAAGACCTTCACATGAACTCTTTCCCACCTAACTTCCTCACCACCTCTGTCAGTTGTTCCTTTTCAAGAATTTCCTTGAACAACGCAAGGGTTAGGGGAACCGACCCCCTGTGCAGTCGAAAATCTGCATTTAACTTTTGACTCCCTCCCAAAATAGCCTACTGTTGACTGGAAGCCTCACAAATAACATGAACAGCCAATTAGCATATGTTGTATATAGGTATTATATAACTATTTTTACAGTAAAGTAAGCTAGAGAAAGTAAAATGTTATTTGGGAATCATAAGGAAGAGAAAATATATTTACAGTACTGTACTATATTTATATAAAAAAAATCAATGTATTAAGTCGACCTGGGTAGTTCAAGCCCATGGTGCTCAAGGGTCAACTGGAGGCATACAATCAGTAGACTTTCAAGGCTAGCTTCTTTCACTTATCATATTGTTTTTGAAATTCATCCATTTTGTGAGTACCAGTAGCTTGTTTTCATGGATAAACCATACACTGCATTTTATGGATAAACCACAATTTGTTTATCCATTCATTCACTGATAGACATTTAGGTGATTTCCAGGCTTGGGCTAGTAAGAATAAAGATCCTGTGAGTATCTACACTCAAGTCTTTGTGTGGGTATATATATGCTTTCATTTCTTTGGGTACATACCTACAAGTGGGATTGCTGGGTAACAGTTTAAGTGTATATTTAATTTTATAAGGAACCGCTAAGCTGTTTTCCAAAGTGGTTGTACTACTTTGCATTCTGTAGTAATGTGTGAGAGTTCCAGTTCCCAATGACCTCCCTCTGAGCACTGTTTTAGCTACATCCCATAAATTTTTAGGTATTTCCATTTTCATTTAGTTCAAAATATTAAAAAAATATACTTTGTCTGCTTTCTTCTTTGACCAATGAATTATTAAGAAATACGCTAGTAATTTCCAGGCACTTAAAGTTTTTCCAGATAGGTCTGTTTTTGAGGTCTCATTTAATTCCACTATAATCATGCTCCATTTGATTTCAGTCCCCTTGAATGTACTGAGACTTCTGTTCATTGCTTTGAGTAAGTTCTCCTTGGGAATTTGCCTACATTTGAAAATAATATCGTTCTGCTGTTTTTGGTGTGTTCTACAAATGTTAATTAGATCAGGTTGGTTTGATGGTATTGTTCAAAACTTCAACAACTGTGCTGATTTTCTGTCTATATATTCCATTAATTACTGAGAAAGGAGTACTGATATATCCAACTATAATTGTGACTTTGTCATTCTCCTTTCAGCTTCATTGGTCTTTACTTCAGGTATCTGGAAGCTCTGTTTCTATGTGTGTACATCTTTAGGGTTATGTGCATACATCTTTATGTCCTTTGAGGAACTGACTTATTTATTAGTATAAAACCCCTGGTAAAAATATCCTTGTTCTAAAGTTTACTTTGATAATAATATGACAACTGCAATTTTCCTTGCATTTGTATTTTCATGGTAGATATTTTTCATTCCTTTAATTTATAAGCTGTCTGGGTCTTCACATTTAAAATAGCTCTGTTGCAGCCATCATAAAGTTGAGTCTTATTTCAACCATTCTGATAATTTCTGCCTTTTAACTGGAGCATGTACACCATTTACATTTAGTGTAATTATTGGTATAGCTGGGTTTAAGTTTATTATCTTTATATTTGTTTTTTAATTGTCACATATATTCTTTTATCCTTTCTACCTCTATTCCTGCCTCCTTTTGGATTAGTTATATATTTTTTTATGATTCCATTTTATCTCCATTATTTAGCAATACCTCTAATATCTCTATATCTTCTCAGTGGTTTCTCGGGGCAAAGATCAGTAAATGACAGCTTGTGGGTCAAACACACCCTGCAGTCCAATTTTTTATGGCTCATGAGTTAAGAATGGTTTTCATGTTTTTAATAATTTTCCCAGAAACTGGAAAGAAAAATCTACGGCAGAGACTGTTTTCCATAGTGGTTGTACCATTTTCTATCCCTACCAGCAATGCATAAGGGTACCAATTTCTCCACCAATACTTGTTATTTTGCCCTTTAAAAACAAAAACTTCCTAATGGGTGTCAGGTGATATCTCATTGTGGCTTTGATTTGCATTTCCCTAATGACTAGTGATGTTTGTCATCTCTTCATATGCTTATGGCACATTTGCACATCTTTGGAGAAATGTCTGTTAAAGTGCCTTGCCCATTTTTGAAGTGAGCTGTTTTTGCCTTCAGTTTTGAAAGATATTTTCATTAGGTATAGCCATCTAGGTTGACATTTTTTTGTTCAGTACTCTTAAGATATCACTCCACTGCCTTGTTGGTTGCATAGCTTCTGATGAGAAATCTGTTGTCATTATCTTTGTTCCACTGTATGTAACTGTCTAATTTCTATGGCTGCTTTTAAGATTGTTTTTTTATCACTGATTTTCAGCAATTTAATTATGATATACCTTGGTGTGATCTCTGTTTTTATTCTGCTTTTTATTCTGCTTCCTGTACCTATGGACTTAAGAGTTTTAGTTTCTTCAAGCATTTTTTGTGATTTCCTCCTCCTTGCTCTTCTGTGGGGACTCTAACATATACATTAGATCATTTAATACTGTGCTAGAGGACACTGATGTGCAGTTAAATTTTTCTCAGGCTTTTTTCATCTGTGTAATTCATTTTGGATAGTTTCTATTCCTATCTCTTAAATTCACTGATCTTTTTACTCAACATATAGGTTGTTCTCAACCAGTGTATTTTTCGTTTCTGATATTACATATTTAATCCATAAAACTTCCATTTTGATCTTTTTTATATCTTTATTTTCTCTTATCATGTTTTCTTCTGCATTACTGAGCATGTGTGTAATTAATATGTTTGCCTGCTAATTAAGTAATAGCTATGACTTCTTGTTTTTGTTACAAGTTGTATTTTCCTGCTTCTTTGAATGCTTGGCAATTTTTAATAGCTTTATTGATGCATAACTGGCATATAATAAAGTGAGTATGCTTAAACTGTATACTTTGATAAGTGCTGACATATGCATATACCCACAAAACCACCAACATAATCAGGTTAAAGGATATATCCATCATTCCCCTGGAAGCTTCCTCATGCCCCTTGGGGATCCCTTCCTTCTGCTTCTCCTCCCTACTCTCATTCCCGAACATGCATGGAAATTTTGACTAGATGTTGGCCATTGTGAATTTTACATCATTGGTGCTGAATTTTGATGCATTCTTTTAAAGAGTGATGGACCTTCTTCTATCACACAGTTAAATTGGTTTAAATAAATGTGATCCAGGGGCGCCTGGGTGGCTCAGTTGGTTAAGCGACTGCCTTCAGCTCAGGTCATGATCTCAGGGTCCTGGGATTGAGCCCCGCATCAGGCTCCCTGCTCCGCGGGAAGCCTGCTTCTTCCTCTCCCACTCCTGCTGCTTGTGTTCCCTCTCTCTCTCTCTGTCAAATAAATAATCTTTAAAATAAATAAATAAATAAATAAATAAATAAATAAATAAATAAATGTGATCCACTCAAGGTTTGCTTGTAATTTTGTTTACGGCAGTTCCAGAGGCGGCCTTTTGGCCTTAGACTAACATGGCCCCACTACTGAGGTCTCTCTACTGCCCCATAACTTATGAGGTCTCTCCATTCTGGCTTGTAGATGGAAACTATTCCTAGTCCTATGAGCTCTGAGAATTGTTTGTCCTACTGCTTTCTTTCCCCATCCTTGTCATATTTTAGACCATGTTTACTCAGCCAAAGATTTGAGGAGATTGCATTAGAAATCTCCAGAGCTTTCTCTTGCCTCTTCTCTCTCTGTAGCTCCCTCCTCCCCAGGATTCCCACAAATTCCAGACACTTCCACTTCACTGAACTTTATTCTTCTGATTCTTCAGCTCAGGCACACAAGTAGACTGCATCTGAGTCCTTCACCTGCACTGGAGATGGTATGATCTCGGGGCTCACCTCTTCTGTTTCCCTTTGGTAAGAGATTACAGTGTTCAACTGCCTGTTATCCAATGTCTGAAAGCAGTTGTTTTATAGATTTTGTCCAGTTCTTTAATTGTCTGCTATTGGAAGAAAATTCCTATAGCAGCTAATCCTTCCTGGACTGCAACAAGTCATTTCAAGCTTTTAAAAGGTATTTGTGTGATTCCAACAACCTGTATTTTAGGCAAAATATCTCTCTGTTGGACCTATTTCATCAATCTTCCTTTTCCTCTCCAAAGGCACAAGATCTAAATCTGGGATCCAATTGGCTAATCTCAAATCATACAATTCTATTTTTCTATATCTTGAAGGAGCTCTCTCAGATTCTGGTTCTTTGACAAAGTAGAAGCTGATAATACTATGTCTACCACCCTACCTCTAGAAATTAACGTGCACATAAAAATGCTGAAAATTACAAAATGCATATAATATAGCAATTTTTTTTCACTACTTCATTGTTATGGCCTCATGAGACTGATTCTTTCAAAATTTAATGTGAACACATTAAGTCAATGTATTTGTTGTGTATGTATCAAGGAAAAGTATGAGAATGTAAGTATTGGTTTGAATGTATTCATTTATCACATACAGCTCCACAAAGCTTAACTCTATGGCCTTTCAAAAATGAGAGAATGAGTTTTGCAGGCTTTATAGAATCATTTAAAATTTATCATTTATGAATTATTATTTTCCTCTCTGCTTTAGAATGTATATTTTCCCATAAAAGAAGCTAATTGCATTTAACTTTATAAATTGCCACCGGCATTGTGGATATAAGAATGTTTATGAATGAAGATGGAGAAGACTGAAAATCATGGCCAGAGAAACTGATCTGGTAGTTTATCTAGGCAAGGAGAAACTAAGCATCTCTTTCCCAACAATACAGTGTCAATGAAGGATTTCTTTTCAAGTACATATTATTTAGCTTGCAGGACGGTCCCCTTCAAAGCTAGAAAAGGAGACCAAAATCATTAAAGAGAAAGAAAGAAAATATTATGAAACCAAAAATGTGATTAAGTGTTACAGAATCATTTTACTCAAGGTCTGAATATGGTTTGGGAAAAAAAGCAGTTCTGTGCTGTGAATTTTAATTACTTCAAGCTACTAGTCCATCACGGTGGAGACAACTCCAGTTCTTGCACTAAATAGAGTACTTCTCTCTCCTTTTCTCTTTCACTCTTGCTCTCTCTTTTGTTTTTGTTTTTTTAAGCCAGTATGAGTCAAGTCACACCATTCTTCATTTCACTCAAGATTCAGGAAGACTGGCGTACTACAATACAATTTCTGAACGTCCTAAAGGAGTAATAGCCTTATCTAATATACAGTTGGGTGCTGTGGGTTAGTACTGGTCTATCTCCTTCAGCATGCTAAAATCGGGTAAGTCACAGATGGAAAAACTTAGGATATAAGCTCAGTTTTAAATGTAGTGTGAGTATAAAAACAACTCTCATGTCAAGTCAAGAGACAAGCCTTATTGGCAGCAATTTACATTCTCAGAAGGCATATTTCTTTTCATCTGAAGCACATTGCTAGGATTTTTGTGTTACTTACATCACTGGTTAAAGTGTCATAATTTGATGTGCACATGAGTTAACTCCCTTCACAGTGACAAACTAAACCTTAGTTGAACTGCCATTCTTTTAAATCTATGCACAAGATTGCAAATGGGTAAGATTATAGTTGACTTTCCCAAGTCCACCATCATTGCTAAAAATAATTCAAAGTGAATTCGTATTAACAATGTGCGAGTAAATGTATTTGAGAACAAAGAGAGTACATTGGTATTAATAGCAGTGCTCACCAATCAGCCATGTGTCTGGAGTAGAGTACAAATAATTTAACCAAAGGGGCCTTATTATTTCTTTTTCTTTTCTTTTTTTTACAAAATTAAAAGTTGGATCACAGCCTATATGCTATAGTGCTCAACAAATTTCTCAAATGCATTTGTATTTCTAAGGGTTTTCTTTTACACTTCCAACACTTTACTTCACTTTAATAAACAATAGTGATAATTTAAAATTCACCAACTATTTTCTCCACCAAATCTCACCCATATGTAATTTGGAGTATAAATTTTTTAAAAAATTTTAAATTTTTTTTTATTATTATTTATTTTGAATTCCACTGTAGTTAACATACAGTGTTATATTACTTTCAGGTGTACATATAGTGATTCGACAGTTCCATATATTACTCAGTGCTCATCAAGATAAGTAGACTCTTAATCCCCCTTCACCCATTTCACCCCCCCAACTGACCTCCCCTCTAGTAACCATCAGTTTGTTCTCTGTAGTTAAGATTTTGTTTTATTATTTGTCTCCTATTTTTTCTTTGTTTTTTCTTAAATTCTACCTATGAGTGAAATACTATGGCATTTGTCTTTGTCTGAATGGCTCATTCTGCTTAGCATAATGTTCTCTAGATCCTTCCATGTTGGTCAGATGGCAAGATTTTGTTTGTTTTAATGGCTAAATAATATTTCATTGTGTACACATGGATACATGTGGATTCATGGATATACATGTGCACACACATATAAACACACATACATCTTTTTTATCCATTCATCTATTGATGGGACACTTGGGCTGCTTCCATATATTAGCTATTGTAAATAGTGCTGCAGTAAAATAGGGGTAAATATATCTCTTCAAATTATTGTTCTCATATTCTTTGGATATATACCCAGTAGTGTAATTCCTGGATTGTAGGGTAGATCTTTATATATTTATTTATAGCTTTGAGGCATCTTATTATAAAAAGCTGGCACATGTATACATAAACAACAACCTAAAATTCATCACATATTTTCTTCATTTTTTAACTTGACCTTCTGGTAAGTCTTTAGCTTCACTGATTTTGGCTGCTATGTAAGGAGATCCTCCCTTGTCTGGGTGATTTAAAAGCATAATTCATTGATGAGCATCTCTTATTTTTCCTTTACTCGCAGTAGGCCTTACGCCTAGTATTAATGCTGCCTCTCATTTTGCCATTTTGGATCAAACCCCCCCCTCTGTCATAGCCACCACTGAAAGCAGATTTTGATGGACTTTGAAAAACTTGTTTTACTTGAGGCTCCCTATGTTTCATGGCTTGCAGTTAAATGTAACAGTCTGCAAATCCTGCAGCAGCGAAGGTCAGTCCAAGTGCTACCACTGGACTGGCCTTGGCTCTGGCTCAGCTCCCCGGCCTCTGCCGAGAGAGCAGTTCATCCCAGCCCAAAGGCTGCAGCCGCCTATTCCCACCTCTGCCAGACAGTGATGTGGCCACCACCAGCAGGCACAGAACCTATTTTTAATTTTTTGAGGAACCTCCATACCGTCTTTTCCAGTGGCTGCACCAGTTTGCATTCCCACCAACAGTGCATGAGGGTTCCTTTTTCTCCACATCTTTGCCAACACTTGTTTCTTGAGTTTTTTATTTTAGCCATACTGACAGGTGGGAGGTGCTATCTCATTGTAGTTTTGATTTGCAATCCCCTGACCATCAGTGATGTTGAGCCTCTTTTCATATGTCTGTTGGCCATCTGTAGGTCTTCTTTGGAGAAATGTATGTTCATGTCTTCTGCCCATTTTTTAATTGGATTGTTTGGTTTTTTAGTGTTGAGTTGTATAAGTTCTTTTTTTTTTTTTTTTAAAGATTTCTTTATTTGAGAGAGAGAGAGTGCACACATGTGAGTGAGGGGAGAGGCAGAGGGAGAAGGAGAGGGAAAGAAGTAGACTCCCCACTGAGCATGAAGCCAGACGTGGAGCTTGATCTCATGACCCTGAAATCACGACCTGAGTCAAAATCAAGAGTGGGATGCTCAACCGAGCTACCTAGGCACCCTGAGTTGTATAAGTTCTTTATATACTTTGGATACTAACCCTTTATCAGATATGTCATTTGCAAATATCTTCTCCCATTCAGTAGGTTTTTAGTTTCGTTGGCTGTTTCCTTTGCCATGCAGAAGCTTTTTATCTTGATGAAGTCCCAATGTTTATTTTTGCTTTTGTTTCCCTTGCCCCAGGAGACATATCTAAAAAAAAGTTACTATGGCTGATGTCAAAGAGGTTACTGCCTATGCTCTCTTCTAGGATTTTTATGGTTTCAAGTCTCACGTTCATATCTAAATCCTTTTGAGTTTATTTTTGTGTATGCTGTAAGAAAGTGGTTCAGTTTTCCCAATATCGCTTGTTGAAGAGACTGTCTTTTTCCCATTGCAAAGCCTTGCCTCTTTTGTTGTAGATTAATCGATCACATAATGGTGGGTTTATTTCTGGGCTTTCTATTCTGTTCCATTGATTCATGTGTCTATTTTTGTGCCAGTACCATACTGTTTTGATTACTACAGCTTTGTAATATAACTTGAAGTCTGGCATTGTGAGGCCTCCAGTTTCATTTTTCTTTTTCATGATTGCTTTGGCTATTCAGGGTCTCTTGTGGTTCCATACAAATTTTAGGATTGTTTGTTCTAGTTCTGTGAAAAATGCTGTTGGTATTTTTATAGGGATTGAATTAAATGTGTAGATTGCTTTGGGTAGTATAGACATTTTAGTAATACTTGTTCTTCCAAATCCATGAGCATGGAATGTCTTTCCATTTCTTTGTGTCATCTTCAATTTATTTCATCAATGTTTTATAGTTTTCAGAATACAGGTCTTTCACCTCTTTGGTTAAGTTTATTCCTAGGTATTTTAATTGTAATTGTAAATGGGATTGATTCCTTAATTCCTCTTTCTGCTTTTTTATTAGTGTACAGAAATGCAAAGGTTTCTGTATATTGATTTTGTATCCTGAGAGCTTACTGAATTCACTTAGGAGTTCGAGCAGTTTCTTGGTGGAGTCTTTAGGGTTTTCTATTTGTAGTATTATGTGACCTGGAAATAGTGGAAGTTTGACTTCTTCCTTACCAGTTTGGATGATTTTTATTTCTTTTTATTGTATGATTGCTATGTTGAATAAAAGTGGTAAGAGTGGACATCCTTTTCTTGTTCCTGACCTTAGGGGAAAGCTCTCAGTTTTTCACCATTGAGTATGTTAGCTGTGGGTTTTCCATATATGGCCTTTATTGTGTTGAGGTATGTTTCCTCTAAACCCACTTTGTTGAGAATTTTTATCATGAATGTTTGTATGGAGTATGAATTTTTTAAAATATCAGCTGAATTTAAGTTTCAGTTTGTATGAGACATTCCATTTCCTACCCCAAGAAGGATATGGTCTAAGTATCTATTATGAATAAATGAAATAGTTTTTTTCCCAGTTTACATAGAAATAATGGACTTCACTACAGAAATAATAAATTTTGCAGTAAAAAGTTTTTATATTCCTCTTCCTAAGAAATATTTTCTCACACAATTAAATACCACCTCTAAAAGTTATGAGTATATTAATAAAAAGCATTAACTTATTCATTTCACAATTTCAAAAATGAGAAATAAGCTGCCTACAGGGAAAAGAAAACCCAATTATCCCATTTGACCAAGAGGGAAAAGAAAACCCAATTATCACCAATACCTATGACCACACTATAAAACAGATGTTTTAGACAGATGTTCCTAAATACCTAGTTCCTCAATATTGACCAACTAGCTCTAATTCCGTATAACAAATGAAGGACATCTACTAATACTGTTAGATCAAAATAATGAAGATGAAGTTAGTGTTTGGCTATGCCTAAAAAACTGTTAGTGACTGAAAATGCAGGAAGGTACTCAAGACACCAAAGTAATGAAAAGTTATTAGTTCATTTGTGAGTTATTATTTCTGTGGCATTAATTTGTGAAAAAGGACTAGCCAACACAGGGATTTCGACAGGGTAGGCCAGCCAAGAAAGGCCAGATTATCAAAATCTATGAGACTCTGCCAAGTTACCCATCCACCTCTGAATGGCTGGGGCGTTCTCAAAGTGGCCAAAACGTGCACAAACAGGAGAGTGAAGGCGCCAGCTGTTGCCTGTGTTCAAACCACGACTACAGCAACATAGACCACAAGGGCCGATTTGCTATGGGAACATTTTTAAAAAGGCATTTACCTTGCCAGAAAGTGTTAAATGAGCACCTCTTCACTAATGAAAGAGATGAAGAGAGTGTCACTTCTTATCTTCCATTACAGCTCGCTATGACTGTCTTATAAACTCCTCTGGAGGGAAGCACTTTCTGTGGTCTCACAGGGATGGGGGGAAAAAAATTCATATATATATATGAATTTATATATAAATATATATAAATATAAAATTATATAATATATAAAATATAAAATTCATATATATATATATATATAAGGCTTCTGATAGTAAGAGTACATCAAACCTGGTATAAAATAAGCTTTATCTGAGAGATTCTGCTGCATTAGGAGAACAGGTCTGGGGAATGTGACCACTTGGGATCTCCTGGGATCTCCCGATTGTGATGGGGCTTCATTTCCTTCTAAATGGTTATCTGCAGGAGATACCCTATATGCTTTTGTTTGAAATCTCTTCTTTAGTTTTCACTGTATGTTAACTAATTTGAACTAAAAAAATAAAAAGCAACAACTCTTCTTTAGTTTTCACCTTTCCTAAAAGGAAAAATAGAAGACTCTTCCTATTGTGGTTATTCCATTTACAACGTGTTTTACAAAGACAAGAACTGTGAAAAACTTAAAATTTCAAAGGGCAATTGTAATATGTAATAATTTCCTGATATGAGCATAGTTCCAGTGAGTATTAAATTTTACTCAGAGTAAGTTTTAACAAAATACTTTCATTTCCTTTTTTTAAATCACAGAAATGTATAGACTGAGGTACAACAACAAGGCAGCTGACAAGCCGTCCCACAATATTCTCAAGAAGTGTACAGAGAAATATGGGTGGACCAACAGAGTAAAGGGTCAGTGATGCACTGGATGGATATTTCCAGTAGAAGGACACAGAACACTTCTATTAATGTTTTCACACATTAAACCAAGAAATCCAAACTGAAGAGAGGTTTAGCTTCCAAAAGTACAGACTTTTCTCATGCTCTTCCTCTGAGAACAAATAGAGAAGTTGTGAGAAAGAAAATAAAACATCTATAGGAAGACACTGGAGAACTACTATGGCAGCAAGAACTTGTGTTAAAAACCCTAAAGGTAAGGAAAGCCCATAGTCAGGATCCAGACTTGGTGTTGTTTTTCCTTTGGAGGCATTAGAGTGTACAACAGAGAAGCTGACGAGTTGGGAGAACACAGTGACTGAAGCCGGAGGTCAGAGAGCTAGCTAGCTACTGGTGGTCCCACAGAGCTGAGAGGTTCAGGGGAGAGATTTGGAGTTTGGCTTCCATTGAGCAGGAATAGAATATCCCCACAAAATATCCCCAAAGTTCAGGTGGGATTTTGAAGAGCTCTGCCCTAAGAGAAAGGGTGAAGTGGAAAGAGACCCAGTCTTTGAAAAGGAATGAAGCCCAGATTTCAGACATCTTGAACCATGACTGAATTACAATTACCTGCCCCTGGCCTAACTGTCCATAAGAAGCAACACTAAATCCTCTCCGAAGGATGACAAGATCATCCCAAACCTCAATTTATCCTTATATTTCTTCATACATAACATATGGCTCTTAATAAAAAGAGCCTCTAAGAAGCTTGACCAAATAGGAAAAAAAACAGACCAAATCGAAGAATTCAACATATAGGAAATCTATACACGGCATTAATAAAGACATGGAATTTAAAAGTAACTGTGATTATTTTGTTCAAAAAAATTACATATCCATGTGCAGAATTTGGGCAAGTAAGTAGAAATAAAAAATAATCCAACAGAAATTTTAGAACAGAGAAATACACAGTGGGGAATTAAGCTGAAATCAGTAAAAAAAAAAAAAAAAAAAAGATAAGAAAATCCCCAACTGTTTAAAAATTAATACCCTCATATGAGAAATCATAGAGAGTTAGAAAATATTTTGAACTGAGAGTAAAAATACAAAATTCAAAACCTGTGGGGTGAAGGCAAAAGCCATGCACAGAAAGTCATGTCGGCTTTAAGGGCAGATATCAGCAAGTCAGAGACCCGAAGCCCTCTGTCAGCCCCTGCTAACACTGAAGCTTGTCTATTTTCCAACACGGCAATTCCACTCCTGGTTTCATAACAAACAAAAATGTGTGCCTATGTGCACCAAAAGATATGTATCATAGAAATGTATATTAAGACATTTTTTAATTTAAATTGGAATAAACTCTAATGTACCTCAACAGTAGAAGAGATAAACAATTTACGGTATGTACACAAAGTGGAATGCTTGCTGCAGGAAAGGTTAATGTGGATGAATCTCGGAGTGTTGTTCAAAAGAAGCCGTGAAAGAATACATACGGCAGCATGTATTGAATTTTAGCAAAATTCAAAGGAAGCAAGTAAGAAATTCACCTACAGTGTTGCTGAGGCCAGTGTTAACTTTGGGGAGAAGGGCAGTGACGATGCAGGGTAAGTCTGGAGTCACAGTAAGAATCTATTTCATGATTGAGATACTGGCTGCATGAATGTATTTACTCGACAAACAGTCTTTAAGACTCCAAAAATCAAGGATAAAGCAGCTCTGGTCTTAGCAGCAGTGTGGTCAAAAAGATTTAGGGTAAAGATCAGGAAACAATCCATGAGGAAGTGTGAAAAACTAGTAAAGTTTTACCCTCAAGAAGGAATGACTTGGGAACACGATTTGTGGGCGCTACACTGAACCCTGGAAGACACATTTGAGCATGATAAGGTAAGTTCCCGTGACTCGAATGTTGATTTAATATACTAAATATACTAAGTATATTGTAAATGTCATATTAATATTACGAGGTATATATAATACACTTAACCTACCGCAGATAACAGAACTGCCGATAAATGGGACACGTGCCTCTATAACAAGGACATTCTCAATCACTGAACATGTGGTCATAAAGGTAGGCCGGCCACCCCGGCACCGAATGGAGAGGACAGGGGGTCAATGAAGTCCCTCCCATCACCTTCAGATTCTATACATATGTTAAACAGAGAACCACAATTAAAAAAAAAAAAAATCTTACCCTTAATCGTGTAGTGGAGATCTCCGCTTTTAAAATATCGGGATCATATTTAGTACTGGATGAAGATCCTGAGAATACTTTTCGGAGAGAAAAAAAAAAAAAAAAAGTAACTTTTACAAGTTGTATAACTTGCTCTCGGCTTGGAATTTACAAACTCTAAAAGCAAGATTTACATGCTTCTGTGGATACTTACTTTAGAATTCCTTTACTGTCATTCATCAGACACCTAAATATAAAAAGTAATCTTCAAACCTTTATCATTTTTTTATAAAAACTCAAGAAAGAGGAATGTCATAAAGACCATGGAGCTTACTGTTCTCTGGATTTCATGCCTACGTATAAACTCTTTGAGGACCTGACAGCACATACAGCTTGTCAGAGCTGTGCATTACCCAGAAACTTAGAGAACTTCTGAGCCCATCCAAACTGCTTCTTTAGACAAACCAGCTCCAGATGATCAGTTTCTGAGATATGAGAGGGTGATCAACAGAAACTTCATTCCAGCCAACAGTCCCACTACCTCCCGCTAGAATACTGTACAAGAGTAGCAAAGGGGGCCAAATTATTTGCCTTGATCTGAACAGGTAAAAATTAACTCATCAATAAATAAAAGGCAATCAGGCAGAGGAAGGAGCAAAAACCAGAAGGGATTCATCCTCTACAAATGAGGCGGGTGGGGACTTCTGTCTGGAATGGAGTCGAGGGGTTTTGCTGAGAAGTCTGTGGGGTGCCCTCACCCCCTCTCGTGGCTTCTGGGGACTCTTTCTGCCTAGAAAGGAGGACTCAAAATGAAACTCCACTGAAACCCAAGTGGCCTTCTCTTAGCTACACTTCGGTCCCCATTTCCAGAGTCTGAGCAGTCACGCTATACTTACAGCTTGTGTGAGAACTTGACTTCTCCTTGTAGGCATCATTTAATCGTACGTATTCATCGAGGGCCAAAGCGAGTCTTTGCTCTTTCACGTGGTACAGCTCCTTCTGCGTCCTGAGAGCATCCTGAGCCACCGAGAGATAGTCCTTGAGCATCTTCTCCTGTTCCCCTCTCCACTGTTTTCGCGGATCTTCAATCTGTGTGGTTTCTGAAAATACATTAGGTGGGTTATTCTTTAGAATTTAAGGATTTTTTTTTTTTGGATGATTTAAGCTTTGAGAAAAAAAAGTGGCTAGCTTTAATTCTTATCTCCTCTAAGCAGTTCATTAGTATTTATGAAGTGACCTCTCCAGAAATCTGATAACAGTTTTTTTTGTTTTTTTTTTTTTTAAAGATTTTATTCATTTATTTGAGACAGAGAGAATGAGAGACAGAGAGCATGAGAGAGAGGAGGGTCAGAGGGAGAAGCAGACTCCCCGCCGAGCAGGGAGCCCGATGCAGGACTCGATCCCGGGACTCCAGGATCATGACCTGAGCCAAAGGCAGTCGCTTAACCGACTGAGCCACCCAGGCGCCCCTGATAACAGTTTTTGCTTGATTTTACCCAGTGGCTCGCCACACCATCCAGCCCCTTTCAGATCCTTGCTAACAATTATCCTCACTGTGAAGCCATTGTACACAAAGTTGCCAAAGTAAGCTTCCTTAGCCGGGATCCGGGATCCGGCCATTCGTCTCAAGAATTCTCTGGCTCCCCAATACCTAGAGAATAACAGCCAAACGATTTATGCCAGCATTCAAGGTCCTGTGTGATCTGAACCCAATTCACTTCCCATGGCACATGTTTCCCTTTACTTAATACAGGATACTCTTGCCATGTTGCCCTCGACATCAGCACTACTCAGAGTCTCTGCTGACCAACCACACGAGTCCCACACAGTTACATGTCCACCACAACCAGGACAGAAATCACGAGGTAACACTTTGAAATGTTCATAGCAATTTTATACAGTTACTGTATATTGTTGACTCTACTAATCTTTGGGCTCACATTTTATCCCTTTTCCCCATTTCTCAAATAACTCATTTTTATTGAATTTTACAAAAATATCAGTCAGTCCACAGTGGATTTGAACATTAAAAACAAACCAAAAACCCAAAAAAAACCGAACCAAACCCTAGACCTGGTTGGAGAATACTCCAAGGCACAGTTCTTGGTTCTGCCCTTTTGCATACTAGAATCACCCAGAGAGCTCTTAAAAAAAAAAAAAAAAAAAAAAATCCCAGCCCAATGAGAGTTTCTATGGGAAGAACCCACGCAATGGTAGGTTTAAAGGTTGCACAGGAGACTGCAAGAAGCCCTCCTCTGCAATGGCTCACAAGCTGCCTTCTCCATGAAATTATTCAAACTATCCAATCCTGAGCTTGCTCAAACTTGCCTACCCGGCCTCGCCCATTCCTCCAACAGAGGCTCTGGCCTGCGCTCTCTCCTTCACTCCTACCTCCCGCCCGACCCAGACAGACCCAGCAGCTTCCCACTGTGGCCCAGTGAGGGCGATGCACCCTTTCCCTTGGGAACTGGGAGTAATACAACTTCCTTTGATGGGTGCTGACCGCTTCGTGCTGCCGATCAGTCACCTCTATAAATTAAATCACTTACTATCAAAACAGTTGGGTCATATGGGTTGGCCACTGTATGAATATGAGAACCTGCTCCTGGTAAATCAGGGCAGGAAAATTAATTTATAAATTTGCTGGAATGTCCAGGGACATACACTGCGTTTAAAATGTTTTTGTGTGTGACTCTCAGTCTTAATGTCCATGTTTCTGGTTGGCCCCAAAGGCTGCAACCTTTGTTGTAGGGTTTTAAGTCAAAACCCAGACAATGATATGAGGTGATCTGATGTGGACACAAGAATCTTTAGGGGCCAGGCTGGTTCTGGAAATGTCTAACTACCCTGGTCTCTAAGGATAAGGGATAACACTAAACTGAGGTGGTTCGGGCTGGGAAGCCTGGGTCCCCTCAGGGCTTAGAGAGGTCCTGAGTGATTAACAAAAATGGCCTGGGTCAGCCAGATACACTGGAACCACTGCCTCAGGCCAGGAACCCTCACTTCACAGCCACTGGGAACAAAAGTTGAGCTTCCTCTACCGTAGTATTTTGAACGCTCATTTTTAAAGATGTATTTCAACACACAAAAGAGGTGTATCTCATGTAATTATGAGAAAAAAATATGCTTGGAGTCAATGTCTAAAGAGATGCAGGAGGGAATAGTCCTGATCGGACAGCCCCTTCAGCCTTGATGGACATCAGCACGGTGGGGCAGCCTCCCCATCTGGAGAATAAGGAGAATGGGCAGACACCAGCCAGTAAGAGCCAAAACTTCTCAGTTTAACATATTCATTATAACTCAGGTGTCTGGCTATACAAACATGTAATATTTATATTCATTTCCAACATACAACTGCAAGCTGACTCAAAGTACAGAACTCATCCTCTACCAAATGGAAATTTATGGTCTTAAAAAAGCTTTCCTAACTGTAGCTGACCTGCAATAATCCTCACCTCCTCGTACTCTGGCCCCAGGAATACGGGCTAGACCTAGTGATCTGCTTCCAATGAATACATGAGAGAGGACGTGATGGGTAGGACCTGGACTAGATTACCAAAGGCTATGGCTGCCACCTCTGCGTGCCCTCCCTCCCTGGAGCTTCTTGGCGTTCTTGCTGTAATGAAGCCAACTGCCATGCTGTAAGCTGGCCTATGGAGAGGCCCATGTGGCAAGGAATGAGGGGGCCTCTGGCCCGCAGCCAACAGGGAACTGAATCCTGCCAACAACCATGTGAGTGAGCGTGAAAGCGGATCCTTCTCCAGTTGTGCCTGGCTACCACCTTGAGGACAGCCAGCCTGTGAGACCGTGAGCTAGAAGATTCCACTGAGCC